GGTTAAGATTCGATACCCTTCTTTCCGATGCCTGGCCATATCCACTCATCCTCCCCACCCCCATCCCCTGAGTATAGTTCGGTTGTACTGTCAGAGGACTATTCCACGTCTGTGCTACTGTGACTATAAAACGCTAGTGAGAGCTGAGCTCATTTGACAAAGATGCTTATTTCCCCTTTCCTGCTTAACTTCGTGGAGTCCCTGGAACTCACTGTCTTATTCAACGTTTGTTACATTTTCTGTGTATTTGTTTTCCATTTACCTATGTCTGGACGCAAGACACTCACACATTCTGGTCATTTCCTCAATCTCCTGGGGAAAATGAGATCTTCTTCTAGAACCTTCGGTAGGTTCTAACCTGCTCCTGAGACATGGCTCTCCTCCTGGAACCTCCCCACCACCCAGGGCTTCTGATTGGACATGGTTCTCCTCTTTCTCAGGCTCATTGTTTTGACACGTGTTTGGGGGAATTCCTAAGGCAGGAGCATGTGTTGCACATTTCTGAGAAGATGCATATCTGAAAACATTTCAATATACTCTAAAACTTGATAGCATGTATAATAGTTACCTTTCTGATTATTATGCCAAAATTCAAAACAAAACAAAACCCTGAAAAAAACTGACCTACAGGAAAAAAAAGGGCTTATTTTGGCTCCCAGGTTGAGAGATTCAGTAGAAGCAAGGCCACTAGTCACAGTGAGTTTCATGGTCAGAGCACAGGTGGGTGCTGGGGTCCAATTTGAGTTTCTCCTTGTTATTCAATGTGGAACTCCAGCCTGCGGATGGTGCCCCCACATTCAGGTGGGGGTGGGTCTTTCTTCTTTAGCTAACTCTTTCCGGAAACACCTCACAGACACACCCAAGACAAGTTGTCTGTGGGATTCTAAATCTATAATGTTCACAATGGGGACTAACCTCCACAGCTTACTGGGGCAAATTGGAAGTGACTGCCTTGAGAAATGTGAAGGTAATTGCTGTCTGGACTCAAGGTTTACTGGTGAGAAGTCTTAAGTAGTTCCAACCACCAGCCAGGGTACAGCAGCTCTCTGAATGCTCATGGCAGCTTTTCTTTATCCTTTATGTTCCAAGATTTCCCAGGTGAAATTGTGACCACGGGAAAGCTGTCCCCATTACCCGTCTGTCTTGTGGTGACATGGGCCTGGGAGGAGTATCCTCCCCGAAACCTCACCCCCTACCCACACTCATCAACACCTGGGGCAGGTAGGAGAGATGGCAATGTGGTCATAAGAGCAGGAGGGCTGTCCTCGATCCCCATCAGCTGCAACACTCAGGAGAACAGGCCCTGCACCTCAACAGGGCAGCACAATAGAGCCAATACTGTTAGCATAGATGTAGGTGATCCAGCCCTGAAATTGTGACCATGGGACAGCTGTCCCCATTTCCCATCTGGTGAACCAACATTACAGCTACCCAGGCCCAGACCCAGGGTTATGACTTGGCCCGCCCCAACATCCACCCCATGCATGATCTGCTAGAGCACGTGGAGGGACCTGACCCACAGACCCAAAGCTGCAGGATCTCCACAACACAGGGCTCCAGCGGGAGGACCAGGAAGGGTCCTAGCGGGGGACCCAGTATCAAACATGTAGTAGAGACCAGGGGCCTCAAACCAGACCAATAACTCTTTGTAAATAAACACTTACAAATAGAGATATATGGACAAAGAAGTACACAGCGTGACTTGTTGGGTCGAACTGCAGTTTCCATGATGAGATTTTAATTCCTTCCTCCCCTTTTTTTCCTCATTTTATTTTCTTCATTTTTTTTCTCTTGAATTTTGTTTTATTTGGGGAGGTGTGCAGGGCGGAGGGCAGGTGTGAAGGGACAGGAAATGAATGGGATCACAATACAGGATGTGAAAAACACTTAGAATAAATACATTTTATTAAAAAAAATACATTTCCCAGGTGTGTGGGTCCATTCTGTATTACCAAGCAAGCATTTGGTGGTCTCTCACTTCAGAAATTTGTGTTTGGCGTGTGTCATGGGGGCCACCTGTGGTGATTCCTGTCCCCTGTTCTCCTTTCGGAACTCCTATCTGAGTATATTAGGCCAGCAGTTGTGGTCTCGATTTTCTTATCTTTCATTTGTCCTCTCTCTCTCTCTCATTCTAATTTGTGAGATATTTGTTCATCTTCTAACTTTTTTTCATTTTTTGTTTGCATTATTATATTTCTAAGAATCATTTTTTTCCTCTGGTATTCCTTTTTCCTTTATCATGCTCTTGTTTGATGGCTGTATATTTGACTAGGAGTACAAGTCGGAGGGTAGTGAATGTTTTTGTAAACCTGCAGTTCCCCTTCTATTCTGTTTTATTTCGTTGTTGTAGGGATGGAACTTAGAGCCTCAAACACAGTGTGCAAGTTCTCCGCCACCGAACTCCACCCCAGTCCCCTCTCCTTTAGGCTGCGTTTTGTTGTTTGTTTTCCTGTTTATATTTGTCTCTGTACCTCATGCGAGAGGATGTCCATATGAGGTAAAGCTATATCATCCATTCTTATTGAAGAATGGATGCTGACAAGCTGAATGGATGCTCTGGGGTTTGCGACTGGAGGTCCCTCTGTGTGCTCTGACTGGAGAACCTCACATCAGTGCCTTTAAGGTTTTCCTCTTGGGGTAGACCCAGTTCTGCTGAAGACTCAAAGCACACAACTTAAGCAGGCCGGGACAGCACACAGCCCCTTACTTCTTCTAGGCTCTCTGAGAACAAGGTCACTGACTGGATCTGTAAAGAGGGGAGGTGTCTGGGAGTCTAATTGCTTCCTAAACAACTTGTGAGTCACCCCTGGTTTCCACAGTTCCACCTCACTGCCAGAGCTGTCTGGAGCTGAGCCTCGGGGGACTCTGGTTGGTTTCTTCAATTTCTCTGGTGCTGACTTAGGATTCAGTTTTCCCATGTCTGATATCATTGGCCACACTTCATGCCTTCCAGCTTTCAAAATCCTATTGCTGTGGAGCATGATGGTGCATGCCTGAAATCCCCGTGCTAAGCAGGCTGACTCAGGAGTTCAAGGCCAGCCTGGGCAACTTAGTAGTATCCTGTCTCAAACCAACCAACCAACCAACCATGCAAAACAACCTGTTGCTGGCAGGGTGTGGTGGCACAACCCATTAGTCCCAGCACTCCCAGGAAGCAGAGGCAATCCCATCTCTGAGAGTTCTAGGTCAGCCTGGTCTATATAGTAAGTTCAGATCAGCAAGAGCTGCACAGAGAGACCCTGTCTCAAAAAAGGGGATGGGGGGTATGGAGTTAAAAAGTTGTTTCTATCATTTCCCCCCTTTTCCTAAGGTAAAGGAATCATATAAGAGTGTTCACTCTGTTTTCCATTTCTAACCTGAGGGTTGGCAGAACAATCTTTCATTCTTTTTCGGTTGTTCCAGGTTTTACTCAATATCTAGTCACTAATTATTAATTGTTGTGACTTGTTTTACTTCTAATGTTGAGACTATCTGGTTGGTTTTGCAAAGAACATAAGAACCAAGAAATAATGACAGGGCTTCAGGGCTTCCCACAATTGGATCTCTGCAGCAGCTGCATGTATGTGCATGTGTATTGACAAAGGAGACAGCTGAGCCTACCTGGGAAAGGAATCTGCCCATAAATGATGACACCGAAGTAATAAAAAAAAAAAAAAAAAAAAAAAACACCCATAAGCAGGAAGCAAAGTAGGTCACAGTGAGTCAGAACCAACAGTGTAAAATTGACCTCCTCTTTGTTACCTCTGCCAGTGGGGATGGATTTTAGTGGAGTTCCATGAGTTTCAGCACACAGTAAGTCCCCTGAAGCAACTGCCCTAAAGTTTTGCACTGTGCATTCTTATCAGGAAAGCTTTTTGTGTGTGCACTGAGGTCCAAACACAAGGCCCTGTGTATCTTAGGCAAGAAACCTCAGCCACTGAACTCCACCCTTTGCCCTGCTTTACTTTTCTTTTAACACAGGGTCCTGCTAAGTCCCCCAGGTTGGCCTTCAACACTAGGCAGTCCAAGAAGGCTTTCAACTTTTCATCCAGCTGCTTCAGCCTGGCCACCACCCTGGGCATAAGAAAAGTATTTTAATGTACCTTCAGATACATAAACTTACTTGTTTTCAAGTTATAAACATTATATCAATATCTATACAGTTTAAGATGTGCAGGTAAGTTTTAGAATAGGAAATAAAATTAATCGTGGTGATTTCTCTAGTACCCTGGTGGTTCATCCTGTACACCATGGAATTCTCCCCCAGGATGAAGATCTGACGTTCAGACAAGTTTTGCTACACATCAATAATAAAACCACCTGGTCTTTCGAAATCAGGACTTCTGCAGATGAGGCTATGGATAGGAGCTTTTGCAAAAGTTTCTCTATTGATTTCACCCCGCACCTCTAGTTAAGAAATACAGCTCCGAAGATTTAATACTTAAATTCTAAAAAAAATAGTAAAAAAAGGCTGGCTGTGGCAAACCACAATTGTAATCCTCGCGTTCAGAAGACTGGTGGGGGAGGAGAATGAGTCGGAGGCCAGCCTGGACAACAGGAGACCTTGTCTCGAAACAAAACCAAACCCTGTAGATAGTACTCAAATAGCCAAGGAATGCACAGAGCCGGCAATTAACACTGGGGAGTGCATAGTTGATTTCAATATCTGAGTCACCCCGCAACTCAGAGAATTTCATTACCTCCCTCCCACAACATACTCTTCTCTGTCCTTTCCTCTCACTTCCGCCTCATTTTGAGGCGGATTCTTATGTACGTCAGCCTGGTCTCCAACTCTCGATGTAGCTGAGGATGACTTTGAACTCCTGATCCTCCTTCTTGCCTCTACCTTCCAGGCGCTGGGAGAACAGGTCTGTACCACCAAGCCTCTGTTCTCTCCTCACTGTTCAGTGTCCCTTTATCTATTTTTGAAAAGATATTCAAGATATTCATGAAAGAAAATAAGCTCAAGCAAGGAGAATATTATAATAATAATAACAAAAAAACCCGGCAACCCCGCCATC